CTTAGCTTGTTCATGTGTAAAATTCTATTTTTGTGTGAATGTTAGTGCATAAATTACTATATTATTAAAAGTTAATTTTTTTGATACTGCAACTTTACGAAATTTTGGATTTAAGAAAAATGCTAAATAATATATAGGTTTATCAAATTCTTTTGCTCGAAAATTAACTATATCTTTTGCATGATCAATTAATCCATAATCAAAATCTTCAAATTTACTTAATTTTAATTTTTATAAATAACTAATAATTTAGCAAATATATCACCTAAAGTTATATTATTAGATTCAAGTTCTGCAATTGCATCAACTATATATTGAAGAACTATAGTAAATTGTTTATTTTCAAGAAAATGTTAATGACTTGTAATTATTTCTTTAATTTTAGTTAGGATAGAAAGATATTCATTAGGAAAGTTAATACTATATTTGAGACAAGATTGAAAACTTTCTTCATGATATTGAACTGATAGACAAACTTTTGAAAGTGAATACTATTAAGTTTCACAAAAAGTTTTTAGTCTATTTTTAATATTATTTTCTAGAACCTATTGTTTTAATTTTGCATTCCAAAAATATGAACTAGTAAAAAAATTTACTAATTCTAAATTTCTTTTAATTGTATTTTGATAGTTTTGATATGATGAAATTCCTTTTGTAATTAAATTAAAAACATGCAAACAGTATTTAATACTAATAATATGTTTATATTTGTTTAAAATATTTTTTTGAAGCTGTATTATAACTGAAGGACTATCTGTAACTATAGCAATAATTTTGTTAAAATCTATAGAGATATTTTGTAATGAGTTTTCTATTGCAATAAGTAAATTATCTGCAGTATATTGACTATTAAAAAAATCTTCTCTATTAATAATTTTATTAATATCATCAAATTTATACCAAAGAAAAGTATATATTGAGTTATTAGATACTGTTACGAGTGGTTCTTTATTAATCTGCAAATTTTTAGGTAGAAGAAGGTTTTTCACAGTTATTATTCAAGACACCAGTTTATTTATCAGAAAAAAAACAAAACAAAAATTAAAAAAAAAAAAATAAAAGAAAAGAAAACG